AAAATGCAACAGAATAAAATAATGTTGCATTTTTTGTTGAATAAATCACAAATAAATCACACAAATAAGTCGCGCTCAGTGTGTAAAGGTCTTAAGGCGTAATACCAGCTGCATGTGTTTTATGTCTTTTATTCTATGCTGCACACTTAGGCTATGTTCACAATACAAGCCTCATTGCTTAAATCCGATTTTTTGCTCAAATCCGGTCTCTCTGACACAATGGTTCACACTCGTTTAGGTAAGTGATTCAAATCTGTCTTTAATGTGGATGAACCGGGGTCCTGAAATGACTCGTATGCGTATATCCTACTCTGTAATGTCACGTGAATGAATCTAATTAGCAGAACGAGCCTTCTCTACGAAGATGATTAACTCTGATCAGCTCTCATCTGTTCATTATTAGAGCGAGACAAAGGAGAAAAAGGTGAGATGTGTTGCTTTTCCACAGTTTACAGGCTTTAACTTCTGTTCGGCGCTGCTGCCATGGTAACACTGAATGACGGCAATGACGGCACGTGCACAGTTGAAAAAAAGCACACAAATTCCGATCTGAGCGTCACATTAAGGTCGCATGACCACGAATCGGATACATATCCAATCTAGGACCACATATGAAAGTGGCTCAGGTCAGGTCTTGAAAAGATCAGATTTGTGTGTCCACACAGCCCTGAAAACATCAGATCTGAATCACATTAGGGCAAAAAATCGGATTTGTGCCACTTCAACCTGGTAATGTGAACGTAGCCTTAAGGCACATTACAAGATAAAACACTGTTTCTTATATATGTCAAACCATACTTTAATATACTTCAATATACATCACCTTATTTGAATAGCCAATTAAGTAAAAAGAATACTGAGATGAGTTTTGAGATCTGTATATATTAGAATAACGTACTCTGAATGCAATCAAATCCTCACGGCAATGTACCGACATCTAGCACAAAGCCTTATCAGAACAGTAGGGGCTGTTACTTCTGCAAAGGGGGGGTGGGAGAGACACACACCCTCTAGTGCTGCACATTTATGTTTTCCACAAAGCACAAATGGGCTGCTCAACTATGAATATTTTGAAAATGTAAGCGATGAATGTGTTCAAAATACATTATCTTAATACAGAACACAAAAGGGGGAATGTTTAATTAGATACAGTGCCAGAGTCGAGTTCAGCTCATTTAAATTCCTGCAGAATTACTAAAACAGGCGTATTTTCAAAAAGATGCTCCAAGACGGGTTTTGAGTCATTAGCAGTCATTATGTAAGCAACGTCTGCGGTTAAAGCCATGTGACTGGGCAGCCAGGTGGGGGCTCAGAGTGTGATCCATGACAGAAGAGACCAAGAGAAAAGCGGCCCGGGGCGTACGGCTTGGCCAATCACCATGGACACAAGCCTTCAAGGACGACTACAGTCACTCAATGTGACAGAACAAGGTGCCTCGCAGGGGTGAAACAAGACTGCCAGACATAAACCAAGCCACATTAAAAACACTCCTTGCAGCATGTCAATATCAGTTAATGCCCACGATTATAAATAGACCCACACTAAAATATTACAGCTAATTTCTTCTGACCTTATAAAAAGGGATTCAATGAGGAATTAAGCAATCTGAGCATACTAATTCATCCAAACATGTACGATAATGCACAATGCAATGCAGCCTAATTCTAAGAATTATTGTCTAAAAACAGTTCCACCGCCTCAATCCATTTAGTTTGATGAAAGCATGACAGGAGACTATGTAGAACACACTGTGTGAGGCAACTAAGGCCACTCAGTCTGCAGATTTCCTCCAAAGCCTTAACGAATTCTTTCACAGCTGTACAGCAGCAGCACTTTCTGGGATAATCCATACCTGCCTATTTGTAGCTAAAGCAACACTGCATAACAATAGCACAAACGATGCATGCTGTAATTTACCATGAGGAGGACAATGACATAGAAATGATTCACCTTTACAAATTACAGAGACTAACAAAACAATTAACCACCCAAAAATGACATGGTCTACTTAATGAGAATTGTAGGGGTCTCCCAGATGAGCGAGTAGCAGCTTGCTGTTGTATTAAATGTACGGTCGCTTGCTGTAATGTGTCCATTTCAGGGAAATCTTACACAGACTCACTTTCCAGGAGTAAATACACTGCGGCAAAAATGATTCATCTGAATTTAAAAGTCAGTGTTAAAGAGAATTCGGAGCTTCAAAATGGCTGTGTTCACATTGCTAGGTTGATGTGGCACAGATGTGATTTTTGTGATTGTTTCAGTTCCGATTTAGGCCATTTTCACACATTACTGCTGTCAGAACAAAACCTCGTTCCCCAAAATCTCCATTTTTGTCGTTTTTTAGTTTTTGACATTATTTGAAAATGCGTGTCGGCCTTTATATTGTGAGTAAATTTCACAATGCATGGACCAAAAGAAACGTCCCACAATTACCTGGAAAAATGTCTGGTTCCATTGACTTACATTAAACGTAACGTAAGTAGTTTTCCTTCTCGTGTAAACTTATAATTTTGGACATACAAGTTTTTGTTCCGACAGCAACAATATGGTAAAAACACACTGAAACTGACAGTTTCAATTCCGATTTAGGCCCTTTTAACATCTGATACGTAGCCGATGCAATGCAACCTCAGTTTAAACAGTCAGGTTGTTGTATCTCCATTTTGGCACCGAGTTTGCCCCCTTTTGCTAGCATTCTTCTTCTTCTTCACGGTGGATAAATGAAAGGAACCTTACCTTCTTTTCTCTGTTTGATCAGCTTCCATTTTTTTCACTCTTTTCTGTAAACTTTGTTCAGTGTGGTTGTTTTAGTGTCTGCTGTTTGTACAAGTTTAAAGTAGCAGTTCACTCAGTTCATTTTGACGTTGTGTGAAAGGAGTCTGTTAATTATAAGGAAATATAATGGATGGCAGATTCATGGCCATGCAGCATTAATAAGAACCGTCAAATCAGAATTCATGTGTTTTTATCCACTGCACACACGCACATACACCATCATTATTCCGTTTCAGCAGTGTGGCAACAGCAGCTAACGTGAAGTTAGCTCAGTACTGTTCCATGATCCATATAAGAACAGTTTTTAATATCTCGTTGCATTAATAAAGAATTCAATTGAACTGTTCTCTCATAAGTATATATATCAAGTATTTTACAATGGCTTTAAACGTGGCTCAATCAGAATTTAGAACCAGAAATACCTGTTTTATAACAAATTCTAATGGGTGATTTTTGGCTTGACAGTCAATGATTTATCACTGACTAATGTTGGTCAGTTATCAGTCAAAGGAATTTGCCATAATTTGCTTCACCGTCCATGACGCACCTGAACCATTCACATGACGTTATTTATTAGGATTTGCACAAGCAGGTCGTATCAGAACACATGTCGTTCACACTAAAGACAGATAAAGTCATGTGCAAAAGTCTGAACAGCCCAGGTAAAATTACTACAGGGAGACTTAAATATGGCATTTTCTGCAAACATTACTGCAAACTTCTCTGCTTTTGCTGAATTTAACATATTGGAAAAAATATAAAATGCATCATAACTTGGGCACAGGCCACATTTTATGTTTTATTTTTTTCCAATGCGTTAAATTCAGTAAATAAACAACAACTGGGAATTAAAATGTGCAGAAGTGTGTTATCTATAGAGAATGTGTTCAGTTATTTTCACTTCAATCAAATCAACCAAATGTAATTTGCAATTTTTTGCAAACGACTGTATGGGTCACTTACACAAATGAATAAGAACCATCACAACACAGAAAGACTGAATCTGGGAAAAAAGAGAACTCAGCAATAAGGCTTGTAATATAGGCTTGTAATGTGACTCTTCCCTTAATAAGCAGTCTCTGCTTGCAATAAAACAGCTGCACAATTTATCTGCAGCACCATTTGGATCCAAGTGCAATATTAACACTGCAGATCTAGTGTGCAGTTTGCAGACTGTCCCTGCACAATGCCAAGTAATAAAATGCAGGGATGGGCCTACTTTATGTGAGATGGAGTTGGTGTCTCTATTTCAATGTGATTTGGCATCATCAGAATGTCCTTTTATCCTCTGCGCAACAGCGCTGAACAAGACACAGCTGTCATGTATTACTTAAAATGTATGAGCATCACCACTAAATACATTTTATACATACAGGCTACAGTTACTCTGAAAGCGTTACATGTTTGTTGAGAAAATATCATGCTTTAGTTAAAATCTTCAGAAGAGAACATAAAATGGTTTTAGTATGTGAGGGTTTTTTTGATAATTGAACAAAACAGCGTAATGCAAAATGAAGTGAACTAATGAACCAATAAATTACATTATCAACACATTTGATTTAATAAGGCAGCATTCGTTTTCCGTCCTTTAAAATACCAACTTTCAGACTGAGTATGTAAGACAAGGCAGTGCAGTACAATTAAAATGATAAGCCAACAGATTTGCACAAGTGCTCGTGTGTGGGTCCCAAAGCAAAACCGCATTGGCCAACACTGGTTCACACGTGGCAAAACACCCCAGTGTATGATGAAATAATCATCGGTGCCATTTGATCTAAGAGAATGCACAACCCGTCCCACTTTCCTTCTCTTCATCTCTCCATTTTCAACTCACTCTGCTTGGATTAAATATTTACAGATGAGGGGACTGTTTGAGTGAGAGGGATTTCTCTTTCAGGGGACTCCTCGATCACCCACAATCCCCTGGTGTTCCCCATCAAACCGCTGCTGTTACGCAACTGCCGTAAATCAAACGAACAAGCCTCTAATTGCAAATGCAGCAATGCAGACATTGCTCTTATTACCATGCTGCATGAGAGCGCTGCATGCCAAATGCCCAGCAGGCATCATTATGTACAATATGTGTCACTATTTCTGATGCCACATCTAAGACACAGGCTCAACACGGCCCTAATGAGACACCACCCACTGCCAACATGTGTGAAGCGAGTGGGCTAAAAGGTGAAGAGGAGTCTAAGACATGAAAAGACAAAACACTCACATCTGGTTTGGGTACAAAGGCACGCCCGGGGATGGTGAAGCAGTTTTTAACGGTGCTGAGATACTGGGCCATGACGGAGAGGCGGCTGCGCTGTCTGCTCCCAGTACTGGCTGTTAATCTCTGGAAAGGAGAAAAGCAAAGCATCACTGTTTCTGTAGGGACACACACAGGGGAGTGCGGTACGATGATATGTTATCATTACTGTGATGATTACATCACAACACGCTTTTCTGAATATACCATGGGTATCGCCAGTACTTCTAGAATACTGATCAACTGCATGTGTAAAAAACAAAAAGACAGCTTTAACCCTTGTGTGGTGTTGATGTGTTTGTTACTCAGTGGTCTGGTGGACCCACATTGTTGGTTTTTTAAATCAATACAGCCATAACAATTTACGTAAAAATAACAGATGTTCAAAATATCACAAGTGGAAGGCGTAGGGTTCTCCTTTAGCAGCTGTAGCCAGTCAGCAGCCTGTCCACGTAGGAGGAGAACAGAGTGAAGGGACACAGTGAAGTCACTGAAAATGTGTTATTTTATATGTTCTTCACAGAAAATGAGCAAAGGCCAAGGAATCTGGGGTTGAAATAATAATAAATCACATAATTTTTTATTTTGGTAAACATTGAAAATGGGTTCGACAGACCTGAACACCACACAAGGGTTAAACCAATTATAGAGAGCCTGTAACCAACAGCAGCCAGTACACACCCGTAACAAGGGCCTTATGCTTGTAAAGACATTGGTTATATATAGAACCAAGATGACTCAAGGAACTATCTAAATGTTTAAAAAGGTCTTTGTCAACTTAAGTGGTTCTTACCTAGGATGGAGAAAGTCTTGTGTATGGCTCTTTAAAGAACTGTTTAAAAATGGTTCTACATAAAACTACAATGGGATCCACTGCTGTTACAAGTCACAGCACTGTGTACTTTGCTAAGAGTGTATAATAACTGCATATAGTTAGATAATTGAATAGTTTAACCGTTTAAATCGCTGTACTAAATCATAATGGCCTTTTTCTAATACAGTAATGTAAAATTGTAAAAAGTGTGAATAAAAAAAAAGTTAACATATCCATTATGTAAAAATGTTCAAGTATCATTTCGTTATATTTTGCCGTATCTCCCACAACTTAGAAAGCACTGTAGAGAGGGAAGCCTCTGGTCCCGGTGGAAGTTTACTTTTCATCCTGGATACTGTGGTTCCTGCAGCAAGTGAGCTTCAGTAAAATGTCTCCAAGTATCGCTGATAGACTGGTGAATATAATACATGTGAGCTTTCAATCTCTTTACATCAGCAAGTAGTCACTCTCAGTAGAGCTGACAGAGGACTTAATATGCTAATGGGTGACTCACAGCTGACTATCTAGCTTGTTGATGTCACAGACATCAAGTACCACAATTCTCATGCAAAATTAGTGAACACAGTAGTCAGTTTTGTAACAGACTGTACAAGTAAACAGAAGTAAAAAAAACGCTCAACCATAATTCAGTCTTGACCAGTTTCTGGCAACAAGCTTAACAAGTATCATCAATAGCAGACTACAGAGACAAAATCACTGAGCCTCATTCACCAATATCTTCCTATATGTTTTCTTAAATTTGTTCTTGAGAAAGGTCCCAAGAAAAAGTCTATGTCAGATTCATGACGTGTTCTTAAACCACAGAACTGTTCACACCTTTGTGCTCTTGAGTGTGTGTAGATTCTGTTACTTGTTACCTAAGAACAAATCCCAGATAAGAAAACACTGGTGAATGGTAGAATCTTCGTAAAAACTGCGTAAGTGGGTTTTAAGAAGAAATTTCTTCTTAGAAACGGTTGGTGAACGAGGCCATTTGGTTTTTCAAAATGTTTTTAACAAGTTTTGATGAAAACAACAATTTATCATACATGTAAATATCTGTAACAGTATTACTTGACAAAGCCCTGAGTTTATCCGCGTGTGATGTCGGCATTCATCAGCACTCACACCTTTCAAAAGACTCGAGAGTTTCAATATCACTGCAGTCGTATCAAAATCATGGAAGTCAATTTTCATTCAATTTTTCTTCATCGTTTGAGCAAAGCAACTGTCCTGTACAGGATGAAAAAAATTCACGAATGGACCTGAAATGTAATGTCATTATACTAACATAAAAATTAATGCGAAATTAAAAGTTAGAAACGTATTTACCTTCCCCTGTCAAGTTATCAGTTTGAGGATACATGGTTATGTTAATACAGTGTCGACAGGCTGTTGACAATAGTTTGAAAAAAAAGTCTAATTATTATTAAATTATTATTAAGACACATTAATGAACATGATGCTGAGTGAATATGCCAAAATTATTAAAAAAAAACTTTTATGTTAACAAAAAACACCAAACATCTTACCCAGCTGAAAAGTAACAACAAGAAAATTCACATTTCCAAGGAAAGCAAGGTCTACACCCTTTTGTCGGGGGAAAGGGAATTTCACCTTCAACTTTTTTAAAATTTCTGCATAATATAGTGGTTAAGATGTAAACAAAGCCATTCAGAGTGGTTTGATGTGAAACTCTATAGAAACTTACTGAATCAGATTTGTTCACAGTGATTGTGATCGTAACCAGATGTCTGAAGGGTTTAATGTCTTCTTATTACATATAATGGTTATGTTTCAGGTTATGATGCCTCAAACAATGTGTTACAATAGTTTTGAGAAAAGTTATTTCCCAAAATTGTATGCTTTTAAATCCATTCATGGCAAAGAGGTACATGCAGGGCACTGTAAGGCAAAATAGTCCTCAAAGAAAACTTCTGATTTACCACTATTTTCCCACCAGTACAAACACCCAGAAGACGCTGGTTGTTTCGGGAAGTAAATAAAATGGCTATATTTGTGCTTTAGGCACCGTGACCCCTGGTTCCTATCACCACCACTTTGTTTACATCTCAACAGTTAAATTATGCAGAAATGTTGAAAATTTGGTGGAATTCCCCTTCAAGGAGATGCTACAGTTCTAACTCACCTCTGCTACTTCTTTCTGGAAGGTGAGTGTGAGTCTCGTGCGTCCAAACACGAACGGCCCACTTCTGCTAGCCATTTGCTCCAGCCATGTAATGATGAGTGGAGTTGAGACACTGAAGGGAAGGTTTCCAATGATGTGCAGATCAGGAGGCTCTGAAAACATTCAAAACACACAGCGAGCCAAATTACATGCTTTCCGTAACTTAAAATTTTAGCAGTTCACTGGGTGAAATTTAAGGGCAACTTCAGAGATTATTAATCTTTTCAACATGTGAACAGCTGATAACTTAAAGAGACCACCTAAACATGCTGTTATCATTTCCCCTCTTTAATATTCGTGCAGAATAATACAAATCTCTTAAAAAATCTCTTACCATCTTCCCATTTCTTGGCTATGTGTGCTGGGAAGCCCTGGTCCATTCTGTATGTGAGAATATCGCCACGGACTATCCTGACCCTGCCTGGGGCAGCCTCAGACAAGAGCTGCTCAAAAACACACCATACGAGAGTGTCATTTACATACAAATTACTTTAATTAGGTTCAGACAACAAATACAAGTCATGTAAAATAAAATATCTAAGTATGTTTCAGAAATGAATCAGAAAAACACTGAAACAAATAATCCTAAACAAAAGCTGAATAGCAATTTCATTTTCATGCAAACACTGCAATGCAGAGTGCTATGCAGACTGACACGGTTCAGACGGATGAGATGAAAACTAAAAGAAGCAGAAAAACGTAGGAATTAAAAGCAGCCAAAATGGAATGAAATGATCCAAAGATGAATGAAAATTAAGTTAAAACAAAATAAACACCTTAAGACAAAAAATTAGTTGGGCGGTAAGACGGTTGTACTAAACATTCATTATATTGTTATTTAATAACCTCTAATCCAGGTATAAAGCGTTTGTCCTTCTCCACAACCAGCAAATCAGCTGCTCCAGCGTTGAGGATGGATCTGGTGAGTCCTCCAGGGCCAGGCCCCACTTCACACACGCATGCGTTCTTCAGGTTTCCTGCCTGCCGGATTATTTTATCTGTAACAACATAGTCCACGTAGACTGGTTACTCTGCCACCTTCCACCATATTGATAATTTCTATCATATAGTTCTATGAGAATCAGAAAATGCACCTTTTATCCTCTGTCTAACTGCTAAGTCCACATTAGTGTCTAAATGAATCTGTTACATTCAATATGTCTTAATTGTCTAATCAAGACTAACATTTATTGTACCCAAGAACATGTTTCATGTGTGAATTTCCTGTGCATTCAGCAGCCTGCCTCACCTGTGAGCCTCAAGTCAAGGAGGAAGTTCTGCGAGAGCTGCCTCTCTGCTCTGAGGTTGTACAGCTTTATGATTTCTCCTATGGTGGGGAGAGGAGGCAGGCGGAAAGAAGCCACTTTCCCAGACGCTGCCATCACCTAGACAAACACAGCAAGAGACAATCGCCGTAAATATTCAAAAGCAAACAGAAATATTATATCACCGCTTACATTCTTTCATAGATTAATGTAGATTTGAGAAATTAGGTGTTTCCACATAAGTGTCTTTAAATATACACATCTCAGTACATTAATTACTAGGGCTGCACCGATACGAGAATTGAAGAGATGTCAATAGCTTTCATGTACGTATCTGCCGATACTGAATATGTAAACAAACATCGGTTTGAAACAGGTGTGGGCGATATTACAATATTATATCACGATACTTAAAGACAGTTTCAAAATAAACAATGCGCATCATGATATCCTGACACACTGCGCCACTTTGTGCCACATTCAAAAACTGACATCAAAAAGTATATTTACTTCTATTTATTTGACACAGTATTCTGCACTAAATCCTATTAAACAGGACTAATTATGCTGTCTTTGTGATGAAACATGCAGTTGGTCAGCGTTCTTTACGTACAGACGATATCCATGATATGCTTGGAAAAGTGATCAATAATAATAAAATATCATAGTATCACCTGCCTAGTTTTAAATATCAACCAAATATGAACATCTGTCTAATGCTGATAATCTTCTTTAAGCATTTGTCTGCTGATACTGATATGATTCTAACGTACATAGTACTTTCATACTTATTACTAAAATACACTGTCTTTACTCCTTGGATTTTTCTTTCTCTCTCTCACATTCATGGAGGAGTGATATATGCGTGAGTGTGTATATATAAATGTGTGTGTGTGTGTGTGTGTGAAGGATGGCTGGTTCTTTCCCACTGGGTGCACTTGTCACGTATGTTGTCAGATGTAAAAAGTGACAGAGTGCAGAGGTCATAAAAATTCTGGCGTAAGCTTTTACAAGATTTTTTCTCTAAGGTTTGAGAACTCAGCACATGAAACTGCTCACTTTGCTGTTCCATTTTAATTGCTAAATAGATCAGTATTACATCTTGAAATTATGTTCTTTATTACTGTCTATCTAATCTTATCATAAGATGCTTGAGTCATTTTTATTTTCTGCAAAAATCACAAATTCACCATTAACACAATCAAACCCACAGCTCACTGGATGAAAAACCATGGCCTGTGGCGACATCTAGCGGCAACAGCAACGAATTACAACTCTAAAAATGGTACAAAAATAGACTGGCAGCTTCTTCACACCACTAAATAAAACTGTCCTGGTTTATGAGGCTCTCTCACGTAGCCACTCTATGAAAGATGAGATAAATGCTCTTTAAGGAAACAGAAAAACTGCGGTGTATGGATTTGAGAACAGTATTTGCTTCCCACTGCAATGTGCAGTGTAAGATAGCAGGCTAAGCTAACCAGCTAAGTAAATTAACTGCAAAACAGGGCGCAACTGTAAATGCAGGCCTTGGATCTTTACTTAGGCACCTAAACAACAATAAGCACACATATGTTTATCATAAAAAACAACATCACGCCACAAACTGAGCTAAACTGCAGTGTAACACGTTTTCTCACCAGCGCCGTGCTCTGCTCTTCCTGTTATGGAGGAGGTTTGACCACAGCAGGGCCACGTTTCGTCCAATGAAAATGCACGTATTGTCGGAACAACCAATGAAAACTCGCGGGGGCGGGGCTTATTTTGCCCTTGAAAGCTCCCTACAACCCAATACTGTCATTGCAGTAACGCGTTTAAGCCAGCTGTGGCGCTATTGCGTATAAAAGATAATTAATTTAATAACAACTGAAGTTGGCAATGTGAGGATTAGTTACCACACGTAATGAGGTGCAGATGACATTAATTAGAAAAATAATCTTTTATATTACACATTAAACTGTAATCTAATGAGGGCTCTTGGATCAGCCCCAGATTTATAGTCTGGTTTATTCTATGTATTTATAATGCAGACTTTTTAGCCTCTATTTTTAATGTGACTGATCTAAATTAGTTCTAAACATTTCTAAATGTTTTTAAATAAGTTAACACTAAATGTAGGTGTCTGTCAAGTCACATTAGTTCAATTTATATTGGTGCTTAAATGACAACAGCAAGTGAAAAGTACAAAAAAACCCCACAATTGTTCAGCGGTGCTGATAGAAATCAGACATCTGAAGAGTTTAATGCCTCTAAAAACTGCCTCACAGCAAATTATTACATTAGATGGTTATGAATATGCCTGAGATATTGTTCTACAGTAGCTTTTAGATGTGGTTCTGGCCTAAAACACATTTTTTAAAGGACATGTATGAGGGAAGTGGTACTTGCAGAGCATTGTGTGGCAAAAATAGTGCTAAAAGCAAGCATATTTTTTACAAAATTTAGCACTATTACGCTCTTATCAACATTATAAATAAAAACTCTGGAGACGAGCAGGTTCCATGGTCATTTTGGATAATAAAATAAATAAAATGGTTATATTTGTGTTATAAACTGTCCCTCGTTCCTATCACCATCATAAAGAAAATATGAGCACTACAATTAACCACTTCAAATTAATGTGAATGACTTTGTTTATATCATAACAATGTAATTATACAGCTTATACAGCTTTGAAAAATCAATGGAATTCTCCTTTAACCCTTTGCATGGCCAGGGCTCGCCGGCAGACCCAAGTTTTATTACACACTTCTATAACCTAAGAACAGCTCAACCAGTTTGCACTAAAGTCCCTGTAGTTACTGAATAATAAGCCTTAGGATGTAGTGAGCCTGGAATTTTAAGGGGTTAAGTAAATCAAAATAACAGCAAAGTGAAATACATTATAAATAACCTAAACCTCATGATAAGATGATGCAAACTTTACTGAAAATATTAATGAAATGAATCTCCTTTAAGCAAACAGAGGTTTCTTTGGTTTAGGCGTTTGTTCAGCTGATGTCGTGGCTCACAGAGGAATTCAAAGCGGACATTATTTTTTTAAATTAGATTTTGGCTTTGGAAAGTGGCAACAGATATCAAACTCTCGTACATTTTATGGTCCTAATAATCGCTGATCTCGAGCAAAAAGGTGGGATACACTGAGAAAAATAGTATGAAAGTGGACAAAAAGGCTACCTGTAGAAAAAAGGGACTCAAACAGGCTGTTTTTGTGCTGTGCCTTTAAGACTGGTATATGTAAATGGCCTCGCTTCTGATTGGCTGCCTCATTTACAAAACAGTCTGACCTGAAATATTCTTATTATGTTAGAGTGAATGGACAAAGTTAGATCGCTGTAGGCTGAGTAAGTGTATATATGTCGATGAAAAACAATGCATTCATGACTGGCTGTTTTTGCAGCTTAGTTTCCATATATGGACCCTGTAGAGTAAAACTTCAACATTGTTTATATACTACATCAAACTCTTTATTTTTTTTAATAAAAGCAAGAAAAACTAACTTTTCCATGATATAGACCCTTTAAATCAGAACAGGTAATTACATAATGCTGAGTTTTCAATAAAGTTGGTTTTAAAAATCAATCAAAAACAACAATGGCATTGTCAGTTCATTCCAAAACATTTATTTATATCTGGCACACATACAGCATCATCTAATCAGCATTTGGTCACCATGCCCAAAGCCACATGCAAGCTAGAGGGGTATAAAGCCCCCCAGCATTAAGCTGTGGAGCAGTGGAACTACATTCTATGGAGCTCTACACCTTTGGGATGAGTTGGAGTGTCCAGAACTGATCACACAACATCAGTACCTGACCTCACTAATGCACTTGTGGTTGAATACAGTCAAATCCTCACAGCAATGTTCTAACATCTAGTGTAAAGCCTTCCCAGAAGAGTAGAGGCTTTTACTGCAGTGAAGATAGAGAAACTCCCTATTTATACCCTTCATTTCAGAGGAAAAGGTCATTTTTGGACATCCAGTGAAGCTGGTTAGTTATGACTTCAATATGTGCAAACATACACATATTTATATGGATAGCCCTAAAACCGGCAGGCCCCTGAGGGTGCTCAAGTGGAGATGCATTCTGTCACTGAGAATGAGATCCAAAGTCCAGCAGTTTCCTGGATCTCAACAACATGCCACATTCATATTGGAAGCGAAAGATTTCCAGCCCTTCTCTCCCACTGGGTGCACTTGTCACATATGCTGCCATATGCAAAAGTGAGAAGTGAGGCTTGAGTGAATGTTTTAAATAGAGTGCAGGGGCAGTTCTAGTACTGGTTCTACTGCTGGTTCACCAAGAGGGGGCCCCTCAGTCGCCCCCAGTGTGAATGGAAATTGGGCTCATGACTAGTCTGCTTACATACATGCTTAAAGGAGCAGTTCACTTCAAAAATGCTAACGTGGTTCACAATGAATAGCAGTCAAGGGAGGCAGTTAGCATCTCAGTGATATTAGACTAACTGCCCCTTTTAGTCTTCATTCATTACTATGAACCTTAGCATTTTGGATGGAACTAGAGGTAGTTGTTGTTTGTAAGTGTTTTTGCAGCAAATTATTCTTCTGTTCACTCTTTGAGAGCCTAGGTGATGATAAAAAGGTCGAAAGAAGCAATGCAATGGAAATTTGTAAAGTGCTCTCTCCTACAGAGTGTGTTGCTGTCGTTCTTTGGCCGACGCCATACACAGACCACTTTTGGTTCCCTAACTACTTTTGGATGGATGGTTCTTAAGGCACTGTATGGAGGCTATACAGCACTACAGTTAGAGTTAACATATTGTCATGATGTCTAATGCTTTATACATCAACTTGATACATCTGAGATTGAGGGGTAGATTCAACTGAACTTCAGTTCAGTTTCATCTAATAGAAATGCACAGACAATGGCCTTTATTCATCAAAGCTGCGTTCAATCAACTTTGGTTGTGAAATGAGCACACCTAAGTTTCACGGCAAGTTTTTTTTTATTCCTCAGTTTCATCTTTGGCATATCTGTACGATCAAACTCATGTCAGGTATGAATGTGTGTAAATTTCAGTGTAATAGGTTTTTACTAACCTGAAAAAATGCTTGATTTGCAGTCAACTAACCAAACCTATTATCAATATCATCTATATCAATAATAAGAATGCTTATTTTACATGCATGTCGGCACAAATGAGCTTTCTTCACAGGGTGGCGGGCTACACTCTACTTGATAGAGTGAGGAGCTCGGCCACCCGGGAGGAGCTCAGAGTAGAGCTGCCACTCCTCCGCCTTGTGAGGAGCCAGTTAAGGTGGTTCCGGCATCTGCTCAGGATGCCCCCTAGATGCCTCCCAGTGGGGGTTTACCAGGCACAGCCAACTGGGGCGAGACCCCAGGGTCGAATGAGCTGGAGGAAGTTGCGGGGGACAGGGTCGTCAGGGATTCTCTGCTCTACGAACTGCTACCGCGATCCTATCTGGATTAAGCGGTTAAAGATGATGATGGTGATGATGATGGTGATGATGATGATGATTGACATACAGAAATGCTATTCCATGAACTATTCCATGTTCCATTTAAAACACATTACACCATGCCCTGTGTTTTATATTACGGACACTGTCCCAAAAATAATAAAGTAAGGACAATATAATAATTAAATAAGGAAAATAATCAATCTACACAATCACATCATTCTACCATCTTAAAAATATGTTTTGTTTGTTTCACATTACATTCTTTTCAGTTGTCGTAACTTTAATACTATAAAGTTTGGTCAGTAGAGGGGAACAGTGCACTCACTCCTCGACCTCAAACTCCACCTACAAGCACAGCCATTGGCTCACGGGCCGCTGAATGCTGTTATTTTATTGGCTCCCTCCCGAAACAGCTGCATAAATTAGGGCGTGCTTTGTGTAAATAATATGTAAATGAGGTTCTGGTAGGCTGGCGCTTGATTTCACGCACTGAAGCAGATTCCTCATTTGAGCTCAAGCTGCTTGTTTCTATGTCACACGAAAGTTTCATGAAGACACAGAGTAATGTACATTATTAAAGAAAGTCAAATCTGCGCTCTACTACCAATGAATATCTATGTAAATATATGCAACTTTGATGAATAAGGGCTAGTGTGTGCATCTAAAAGCATCTACAGTGGACTATCAAAACAAAGTGTTACTGAAAATGCAATCATGTAATGCACAGGCACAAACAACAACAACATAAGATCTTAATTGCAAGTGTTATTTTTTGAAACCTAAATATATATAATGTAGATTTATTTAATTCTGCCCACTAACATATAATACAGGCTAATCCTTCATATAAGGCAAACTGAATAATTTATTTTTCAATATAGGTCTAATTGACAACCGTTCCAAACCCAGTTTGTCCTCATATAAAGTGATTAGGTAGTTAACTGTATGCAGACCTCCTGTGTATATTGTTGCAAGCTCACTATGTTCTCAGAGCACTAGGACCCCACAGCCATACCTCAGGTAGCGTGGCGTACAGTGCTAGAGGGGTCAGCTTGTCAGAAACGCTCTTTGTTGGAACTGAAATGTGCTCCACTGGGGCTCTGGTTGAGTTGTGCTTGCACATCCCGCGGATGACCTTGGCTTGGGCCTTCACAAAGGAAAATGCAGATACTGCTGCCATGGCAACAAGAGACCAATCGCATACTTTGAAGGGATATCCTTGGGTCTGCTGTGTTC